ATTCCTGTCCCCACTCTCCGAACTCTGTCCCCACTCTCCTGTCCCCAGCTACAGAACTCTGTCCCTATTCCCGTCCCCACTCCCCAAACCCTGTCCCCACTGGCACCCTGTCCCCTGCTGCAGAACCCTGTCCTCTGCCCTCCCAGCATCCTGTTCGCTTTCCCCTGCTCTTAGCTGCAGAACTCTGTCCCCACAAAATGTATAATTATAAATGCTTCATTTTAGATTTAAATAGCATGAATAAAAAACAGACCATTTATTTCATAAATATAAACACCTGATTTTAACTTTATGTATCGCATAATTTAAAAATAAACTGTTTATCAGTGTGTGTAAGTAAGGGCTGGGGATAGCAAGTGATGGACAGGAGGAGACTAAAGAGGGTGTGGCTTCAAGGAAAGGGTGGGGCGGTAGCTCTTCGCCTGTTCTGAGATTTAAAAAGTGATCTTGGGTGTAAAAAGGTTGGAGACCACTGTTCTAAGGGATCATGCAGGGTAAAACAGCTCATTAATATCCCAGTAGTGATAGGACAAAAAGTAGTGTTCGTGGGATACAAACTGGTACCTGGGAGTAGCCCCATGTGGGGCCAGAATCTTGATGATTACCTGTTCTATTCATACCCTCTGGGGCACCTGACATTGGTTTCTGTTAGAAGACAGGGTACTGGGCTAGATGGACCTTTTATCTGACCTTGTATGACCATTCTTATGGTTCTTATTATATTTGTGCTGTGTAATAGCAAGGGTTAACTTACAGTGTCCTTCTGGCCCTTCTGTGGGTCCATACTGCACAGCTGTCTTTAAACTGAGAGGTAAAGAGAGTTAATTTCCAGAGGTAGCCAATCAGGGAATTATTGAAATATCGGAATGAGCAAACAAATAGCCTGCATCAGTTCATATTCAGATAGATATATGCACAGCCACATAGTATGAGAATATTTTTAAAGGAAAGGTTAGATTTTGAAGAAACTGATGGGACTGTCAAAGATGTGTGGCTAAGACATTTCACAGACTTGATTCTTATTGCTTAATCACATTTAATAAAGATGGTAGTAAAGTCCTTTCCCTCCTGGTTCTTTAGATTTTAATGCTTGGTAATGGCAAATATAAGTCTGTCTTGTTTACAATGACGTGGTGTTATATATGCAATATATATTTTGTATATCTTCTAAAAATACTCAAACAGTAGCAATACCTGCCATTTGTCCTATGGAGAGTGGTTTCTTATACTGTAATGATTTGATTCCTTGGCTCTCCACCAGGGGGCAATCATTCCATTTCAATAGCATGATCACTAAGAATAAATGTATTTTAAAGCAGTAATATCATCAATGTTCTTTAAAGGAAACTTATCAAAATTAAAATCATATGTTGTACCACAAACACCTCATGTGCTTAAGTAACTAGTGTGTTTTAGATTATCAAAACAAATCTTATATTTTGCTATGTTCTGTGTGTACTGTTGGATTAGATTCCTTGCTTCTCTTAGTTTGGACAATGAAATTAAACTGTTTTGTATAATGTAATATTCACAATTGTTTCTAATGCAGTAGTACAATGCTGCAATGTGGTTGCATGCACTACAGGAGAATGTTTACATTTAAAATTGCTGTATTAACATTTTTAAAAGACTATATTAAAAGCTGTTATGTGGTTATGTTCTACTGTTTTAGATTCATAGTACCGTTTATTAACCTATGCATCTAAACATAAATGTTGAACTTAAATAACTTGATAGTCTTCCTTTCATGCTATAATTTATTTAATTATTTGTATTTCAGTCATTCCAGGAGGCCTCAATCAAGATTAAAGTCCTGCTATGTTCAACATTTTACAAATATAAGACCTATTTTGTAGCTAATACGGTCTTCTATTTTATTGCCTTGATCCTTCAACTGGATCCATGCAGATGAACATTTGTGCCATTGTGAGCTGAGTACGAGCTCAGACCAGTGTAAAGTTCTGACTGCAGGGACATGAAAGTAGAATCTGAGCCAATACAATTATAGAAGACAGCATTACCTACAAATATCTTGTAGGAGTTTAAAAATATATTTTCCCAATTGCATATACTTAGTCCTGTTAGGTTCTGAATCTTCCTCCACTCCCATTCATGATTTTCAGTACCTCAGTTTTGATCCAAAGACATCGTGTATTTGGAACTGTAACACCATTGTGCAATTTTTTCACATATAATAAGTAATGAATTTGTGTCTCTGTTGTGGTAGTAATACTGCCTGTATGGCTGTGATGCTCTGTTGAAGGCCACATAATCACTGGAGAAATTTGATATTGCACAGTAACATTGTTCAAGAAACTATGTACTTGCTATGCCCTTGAGTTTAGCCTTATTAAATAAGACAAGCCATAGACTAAAAGTAATCAGAGCAGATTCTGGTAAATTATTTATAGATTTGAATGGCACTTATAATACAGTTGCTCACCAGTTTCTTTTTCAAGTGATAAAAACATTGTTATTTTATTTAGTACAATAATATTAAGTCCAAGCATTCCTTTTTTGATAAATTAAATGGATCAAATCCTGCAGCCTTTACTCAGACAAATCTTCTGTTGATGCCACTGGGAAGATTGCTTATGTGAACAGTGCAAGATTTGGCTCTGTATATTTAATTAAAAAATCAAGAGTACAAAAGATTGAGACTGTGGAGTTCAGCACTTTAGAATATGGAGGAATCTAGCAGATTTCAGCCAACTTCTTGTCACTCTTAAGTGACTTTTAGAAGACATGCATGTACAGACAGGAAGACAATTTCACCTGCTTTATTGCATTCATATGGGTATTTGTCATTCAGCCACTACTATTTTCTGTGATGCTCACAAGGAAATTATTGTACTTTCCTTACCAACATTCTTTCATTTACTCGTCTCTCTCTCCCTAATCTATAACAACTCTAGTGCTAATTTTTGTAAACACTAGAAAATAAAAGTCTTTTTTTTTCTTTATATGATGATTTCTTCCATCAGAATTCCTCCCTGCTGCTCATTTATACTCTGTCTTCTTCTCCTTCAATATTGCCAACTCTTGTAATTTTATCAGGATTCTAGTAATTTGTGGTTTTTTAAACCCATTTTATGAAAACATGATAAATGGCAGCCAACTCACAAATTTTCCCTTATAAGCCACTATTTCCTGTTACTGTCAGAGGGGCTGAAGCCATAAAAATGGCTACTATTTCCTACAGCCTAATTGTATGTGGAAGTGAAGGTGCCCTTAATAAAGTTTGCGGGATCCCATTTAGAAGGATTGATGGGCTGTAGCCTCCTTGAATTTTGAACCCCTGAATTTCATACTTGAGGTTTGCTTAAAGCACTTGTCCTGGCCCCAGAGGCAGTTCTGAACTGCAACAGAGCTTCTGCTGCTCCCACCTTTGGTTTTGGGGCAGGGAATTTATTTATATAAACAGAGGGAGGTATGGTGATTAAGATAACAAAAGGCTTGTCATTCAAGTGATTGAAGGATTCTTAGATGATCATGAAAACGTTGCCATGTACTCCATGTAAAAGATAGAAGAAAAAGGGAAGGAATAAGTAGTGGTGTGTTCCAGGAATCTATACTAGTGTTGCTCAATTTATTCAGAAATGATCTTGAAAAAGAGGTAACAGCAAAGTGGCAATATTTGCAGCTGATACAAAATTACTCAAAATAATCCAGTCCAAAGATGATTGCAAAGAGTTACAAAGGGATTTCACAAAATGGAGTGATTGGCAACACCGAGGCTTTGTCTATACTGCAGGGTTTTTGTACAAGAAGCTTTTTGTGGAAGAGATCTTCCGCAAAAACTTCTTGCGCAAAAGCATGTCCACACCTCAAAAGCAATGTGCTTTTGTGCAAGAGCGTGCCTACACTGCATGGACGCTCTTGCACAAGAAAGCTCTGATGGCCATTAACAGAATGGCCATCAGAGTACCTGTGCTTTTTCTGATAGGCTCTTTTTGCACAAGAAGCCCCTGCGGAGGGTCCACACATGTCTTTTGGCACAAGAGCTGTAGCACAAAAAGGAGTTATTTCTCATGGGGATAGGAATAACTACCGGCAAAAGACCTCTATCCTGTCGATTTACTGTATTTTTTTTTTGTGCAAAAACGTGCTTGAGGTGTGAACGCTCTGCCGGTTTTTGCACAAAAACCTTGTAGTGTAGACATAGCCTCAGTAGCAGATGGAATTCAGTGTTGATAAATGGAAAGTAATACACATAGAAAATATAATCCCAACTACATATACAAAATGATGAGGTCTAAATTAGCTGTTACCACTCAAGAAAGAGATCTTGGAATCGATGTAGATTGTTCCCTAAAAACAACTGCTTAGTATGCAGTGCCAATTTAAAAAGCTAACAGATGATTAGGACTCATTAGGAAAGGAATAGATAAGACAGAAAATATCCTATTGCCCTTATATAAAGTCCTGGTATGCCCACATCTTAAATACTGCACGTAGAGCAAAAAATATGTTGGATTTGGAAAAGGGCAGTAGAAATGATTGGGGTAAGGAAAAGCTTTCATATTAGGAGACATTAAAAAAAACTGGGACTTTTCATCCTGGAAAAGAAATGACTAAAGGATGGGAAGGGGGTTATTTTAGAGGCATAGAAAATCATGAATGATGTGGAAAAATTTAATAAGGAAATGTTATTTTCTCCACATGGCACAAGAAGGTCACCCAATTAAATGTATAGGCAGCAGATTTAAAACAAACAAAAGAGACTTCTTCTGTGGAACTCTTTGCCAGGGGATAGTGGAAAGGCCCAAACTATAACAAGGTTCCAATAAGAACAAAGTAAGTTCAAGAAGGATAGGTTCATCAATGACTACTAGCCAGGATGGGCAGGGATGGTATCCCTGTTCTCTTTTCAACAGAAGCTGGGAATGGGTGACAGGGGATGACTATTAGTTGCCACAAGATATCAGGACATATTAGTATTAGTGTTAGTATCAGCTAAGCAAATCTAATATTTATTTAATTTTCTTTCTTTTATATAGGAATTAGATCCAGTGCTCCTGTCAGCTTTTTGCTAAGTTATCTGCTGAAAAAAAAAGAGTTTTCAGCTGCCTTAGTAGCTCCTGGAAAGAGGTGATGTAGGGGGAGGGGGGAGAGGGGATGGGAAGGGAGAGGGCAGACAGAGTTGGTTTCCCCACTCCAATTTGCTGCTTGGCTTGTACTGAGCATGCTCAGTAACACTGCTAATACCACCAACCTCACTCTGCCCCCACCCCCATATGCCCAGGGATGTAAAATCTTATTTAATCAGTTACCTGGATAAAATTTACATTTAACCAGTTAACTGATTAAGCAGGATCCCGCAGGCACAAGGCCCAGGCAGCCGAAGTAGCTCCCAGCCCTACAGGGTTCCCAAACCCTCAGCACCGCAGGGCTGACAGCTTCTGGGTGACAGCCCCGCAGAGCTACTGGTTAACTGGGAAGAGTGATGCCCATTTCACATCCCTACCTATACCCTCAATTAAGTGAATCTGACAGTGGGTTTTGCCCATGAAAGCTTACGCCCAAAGAAATCTGTTAGTTAAGGTGCCACAGGATTCCTCACTGTTTTTGCGAATTCAGACTACCACGGCTACTTATAGTTTTATGATGATTCTTAAGTCTCATGTTTTTCGGGCTCTGACTCATTAGTTTTGATATCTTGAGGGGTGGTCTAACTCATAATTTTTGGTATCTAGAGGTTGGCAACTGATCTTTTTGCTGTGCTGATATTTACATGTGATCATCATTGATCATCTTTGACCTGACCTAAATTCATTCTCTCGTTATTTTGTCAGGTTCATGGAAGGAAAGGAAAGTCTTTTAAATATTGAGACATCTTGGAGCTGACATCATGCACCCTGAGCACTTAGTATCTGCAATAGATTCTTCCCAGATAAGACTATTAATGTCAACTGTTAAAGTCTTGAACAACAAATTATTTGATACGTCACCAGGAGAGCTACAGCTGGTGTATATGGTCATATGTAGTAATTTTGCACCATAGCATGGACTGTTTAAAAAGATAATGCAGCATCTAAACATGATAAACTGGACAAAATTTTTGTGACTGCTGGCATTTCATTCATAGAAATGTAATTTCTGTTCAAGGTATTCATTTATTTGGTGGCTGGGATAGTCACATGTTTTTAATGTCTGGACATGCTTTTTCTTGTAAAGTACATATAATAATAATAATTAATAAATAATGGTTAGGTTTCTTAGATTGTGTATTCCCTGAGACTTTAATATCCTGTGATTTATCTTAATATTTATAATAACAGTCATTAATTAACAAGCCTGATTCAGTGTCCATTAGCATTAGTCAGAGACTCTCCATAGCCCCCCTAAAGGAACATTTAAAACAATTAGTTACTCATTTTGGAATATAGACTTCAGAAGTTTGTCATTTTTGGCACATTTTTAACTAACCTGATCCTTGCTTTCTCATTATTTTGCTCTGCAGAAAATTTTCTGGTTTTAGTAGACACTCATCATCTTCTTTTTTCCACTGTGAAAGTTTGTTGACTATCTAATGTTCCCTATTGCAATCATATAATTTGAGAAGTTTTTTCCTAATGTCCATCCTAAGCTGCCCTTGCTGGAATTTAAGCTCATTGCTGCTTTTTGTATCCTCAGAGGTTAAAGAGAAAATTTTTTGTCCCTCCTCCTTGTAACAACCTTTTATGTACTTGAAAACTGTTATTTTGATCCCTCTCAGTCTTCTCTTCTCCATACTAAACAAACTCAATTTTTTTTATTCTTTTTTTCCCTCAGAGGTCATGTTTTCTAGACAATTACTTGCTCTTGTTACTCTTCTCTGGGCTTTTTCCAGTTGTCTACATCTTTTCTGAAATGTTGCATCTAGAATTGGAGTGCAGTAGAGCAGTGGTTCCCAATCTTTTAGATACAGGGACCTGCAAACCCAGTCACAAACTTTTGGCAGACTGGCAACATTTTATTTGTATATTCATTATGCAAATGAAGAACATGTGAATGTGCAAATAAAATGTTACCAGTCTGCCAAAAGCCCAGTCCCCAGAATCCCCAGTGCCAGCCCTAATCCCTAGAGCGACCCCACTCCTCCACTACCGCTCAGTGCCAGCTACTGACCCCAGAGTCTTCTGCACCCAACCTCCCTAGTGCCAGCCTCCTGCTCTCAGAGCCCTCCAAAGCCAGCCCCTCATCCCAAATGCCTCAATGCCAACCACCTCCCCTTAGAACCCCCCATCAAACCACCCCATACCAACCTCCTGTTTCCAGAGCCCCACTGCACCCAACTCCCCAGTGCCAACCCCCAATATTAGTGCCAGCCCCCACAGTGTGAGCCCTGCCATCATACCCCTCCTCTACTAGCTCTCAGAGCCCTCCAAAGCCAGCCCCTCATCCCAAATGCCTCAATGCCAACCACCTCCCCTTAGAACCCCCCATCAAACCACCCCATACCAACCTCCTGTTTCCAGAGCCCCACTGCACCCAACTCCCCAGTGCCAACCCCCAATATTAGTGCCAGCCCCCACAGTGTGAGCCCTGCCATCATACCCCTCCTCTACTAGTTCCACCCAGCAGCAGGCGGGGCAGGGTCTCCTCCAGGTCGTGGAAGAGCGCTTCCCTGTACAGTCGGAAGGCTTTGCAGCATGGGGTCTTCTACCAGCTGCTGCAGAGAGCTTCCCTGCACAGACAGGAAGTTTTTCCTAATGTCCAACCTACACCTCCCTTGCTGCAATCTAAGATCTTTGCTTCTTGTCCATCTGCAGAGGTTAAGGAGACTAATTTTCTTACCTCCCTGTGACAGCCTTTTATATATTTGAGAACTGTGATAGCCTTTCCTTCTTTTCTGCTACAAACAAAGAAATCTTTCCTAGTAGGTCATATTTTCTAGATCTTAAATCCTTTCCAGGAAGTCATTTTCCATTTTGTATTTGTACAGTTGATTAGTCCTTCCTAAATTGTAGTGTTCACATGTGTCCTTATTGAATTTCATTCTGTTTACTTCAGACCAATTTTCTAGTTTGTCCAGATGCTTTTAAATTTTAATCCTATCTTCCAAATCTCAGTATCATCTAAAAACTTTGTAAATTCTCTGTGCCACTGTCAAAATCATAGATGAAGATATTGAACAGAATCAGACCCAAAACGGATCCCAGTAGGATCCCACCTGATCTTCACTTCCAGATTGATTGCAAACCACTGATAACTAGTCTCTGAAAATAGTTTTCTAAGCAGTTATATATCCACCTCATTGTACAGGTTTCAACCTCCCTTGTCTGGCACCCTCAGTACTTGACTGGTCCTGGATGAGGGATTTTTCTGCACCAGGGGAGGTCATTTCAGGCCCCCTGTTGCCACCCTTCCTCATGGGCTTTTGGCTCTCCCTGTAGTCCAGCTGAACCACACGCCATCTCCCAGACCCTCCCCAGTCCAGTTGAGCCATGTGCCAGCTCCTGGCACCCTTCCTTCCCCACCACCCAGTTGAGCTATACACTGGCCCCCTGTTCCCTCTCGCAACCCAGGAAAAGCTTCCCTCTGAGATCAGGCAGGAAAGGACAAAAAAGTATGAAAGTGTTAGAGTTGATAAGTTATCCTATTCTAACACTGATGTCTTAGCTACATTGCTCAGATTCCTTGCTGTTGCTGGAGCTATCATGTTTAATTGTTTATACAGATGATGTTTCCTTTGAATTTGTTCAGAATTTCATGGTTGCCAAGACACCCAGAGTGCTGTCTTAAGTGGCTATAAGCTCCAGTCATAAGCCTGGATACTTTAGTTCTCCTGCTTGAGTTGGGGATGAAAATCATAGGCTGAATCATAGGCTCATCATTGTCATTATCAGTTTGGATTTGGGATGTACTTATTCTCGGGGCTTGATGAACGGCGGCAAAAGCCGCTCGCCAGCCCCGCACTGTGCATGCTGCAAATGAACGGGGTGCCCGGATGAAATCTACTCGCCATGGGCGAGTAGATTCAATACTTTGTCAAGCCCTGCTTATTCTGATGGGGTTTGAAATCCATTTTTATGGTCTGACATTGGAGGTTGACAGCTCCAACAGACTTTCAGACAGCCTTGAGATCAAATATTATTCATCCCAATGACAAATCTGTTGATGGTTTGATAGGACTTCTTGATGATTTTTGTCCTTTACTTTTGATTTGGTGCCCCCTAATTGTCCTATTTACTATATCCTTGCAAATCAATATGGTTTACAAATGACCTACAACCAGTGGAAAAAAAAAGGGGAAAGCATAGAATACTAGAACTGGAAGGGACCTGAAGAGGTCATCGAGTCCAGTCCCCTGCCCTTATGGCAGGACCCAGTACTGTCTATACCATCCCTGATAGACATTTATCTAACCTACTCTTAAATATCTCCAGAGATGAGGATTCCACAACCTCCCTGGGCAATTTATTCCAGTGTTTAACCACCCTGACAGTTAGGAACTTTCTCCTTATGTGCAACCTAAACTTCCCTTGCTGCAGTTTAAGCCCATCGCTGCTTGTTCTATCCTCAGAGGCCAGGAAGAATAATTTTTCTCCCTCCTCCTTGTGACACCCTTTTAGATACCTGAAAACTGCTATCATGTCCCCTCTCAATTTTCTCTTTTCCAAACTAAACAAGCCCAATTCTTTCAGTCTTCCTTCATAGGTCATGTGCTCTAGACCTTTAATCATTCTTTTTGCTCTTCTCTGGACTTTCTCCAATTTCTCCACATCTTTCTTGAAATGTGGTGACCAGAACTGGACACAATACTCCAGCTGAGGCCTAATCAGCGCAGAATAGAGTGGAAGAATGACTTCTTGTGTCTTGCTGACAACACACCTGTTAATGCATCCCAGAATCATGTGTGCTTTAAACAGCGTCACCCTGTTGACTCATATTTAGCATGTGGTCCACTATAACCCCTAGATCCCTTTCTGCCATACTCCTTCCTATACAGTCACTTCCCATTCTGTATGTGTAAAACTGATTTTTCCTTCTTAAATGGAGCACTTCGTATTTGTCCTTATTAAACTTCATCCTGTTTACGTCAGACCATTTCTCTAATTTGTCCAGATCATTTTGAATTATGACCCTATCCTCAGAAGTTTTCTGCTGAATCTGATTGACCCTGACACACAGCTATTTAAAGTTTGTGTGCTGGGGCTGTGCAGAAGGAAAATATTTTGTCTCTACCATTATGTCTTCAAATCTCACACTGCAGACCTGTTTAAAATGTTAGGCAGCTTCATGAAATCTAGCTGCATCAATTCACTTTTGGAGTTTGTCGATATCTGAAGAATTTTTTCACATCGCAAGCAACAATGTTAGGATTTGGACTGAAATGTCTACAAAGGGCAGTGTTGCTTAGCGAATAGGGAATTAGCACTGGACCCATGAGATGTGGGTTTAATTCTTCTGTTATATCGCTGGTTTACAGAGTAAGGTTGGACAAATTACTTCATCTCCTTTTGCCTCCGTTTTCCTGTGTGCAAACTGGGGTTAATGGTTCGACCTCCTTTATAAAATGCTATGAGATTTACTAATGGGTCCTTTATAAGAGCTAGATTTAATTTAATTATTTATTCATTCTTTCTCAAGGAAACATGACAGCTTCTTGAAGAGGAAAAAAACCTGAATCCTCTCTCTTTGACTTTCAATCAAAATTGCTGTGCTTACACACACTATCAGGTCAGAACAAAAGTTGCCAGTTCTTCAGAAGATTTTCTTAAGTCTCTGTTTTCTCTTTCACACCTATTCCCCCTCATAACTCTTTGCCTCCTGCAGCTGCTGAAATTGTCCAGATCCAAATAAGGCAGGACTAACTGGGAAGATGCCATGTGCAGTGGGAAGCAGGGGTCAGGATACAAGGCACTGAGAAGGGTAGGGGGCTGGCTTGTGATCTTGAGCAGTAGGGTAGCTGATGGTGAGAGATGGCTTGTTGAGTTGGAGTGCTTACAGTGTTTGAGTTTGTGGATGGAAGGGAGGAGGCAGCAGGAGGAGGAGACTGGGAGGGGAGGGGGAAAGAGCAACATCTCTATCTTTCTCTCCAGAGTACATTGCTAACTGCAAGGGGAGGCTCAGGCTTCCCTAAAATCCATCATTTCCTGCTTTCAGCGTGGTCACAGAACAGGCAGAGCAACAAAGAAGGTCCCAGAGGTAAGGTCTCCTTCAACTTGCAAATCTATACTGTCTGTTCAACAAAGAGAAAAGCAGCATAGAGGAGAGACATAACAGGACTCAGGAAAAAGGGAGGGGGAAAAGTAGCTAGTAGCTCCCTAACAAGAGGAGTGAGGAATTGTGGGCAGCAACAACAGAGTAAGGGGAGAGAGGGATTCAGCTCATAAATTATCATCAGCTGGGAATATCCAGGAGTAAATAGCTTGTGTCCCAGACACCCATACAGGCGCTGGAGAAGATGGTTAGGACAGTTGCACTATTAGGGGAAATGTTCTGGCACTTGAAATACAAGGGACAGACTTGTAAAGCAGGAACCTGAGCTACTGTTGCCTTTGTTATAGACAGGGGCTTGAATGGAGAGGAAAGTATAGCATCTAAATATGGGAGAGCTTGTTCCCATTTTTCCCCCTATGCTCCTACTTGCTTTTTGTTTTGCTAGTTTCTGACTGTAAGGCTAAGCTCTTTAA